ATGCCGATAGCGCTGCTGATGCCGCAGATGCCGCTGCTGCTGATGCCACAGATGCCGCCGCTGCTGCTGCCGCTGCTGGTGCTGCGGCCGCTGCTGCGGCCGCCGCTGCTGGCGCAGAATCCAGGAAGTTGTTGAGGCGATTGCTGCGCGTGTTGGCGGATCCACCCAGGCGCGCAAGCTGCTGCTGCTGCTGCTGCGGCTCCGGCTGCGGCTGGCTCTCCGGGCTCGCCGCTAGTGTGGCTCCCTTCCGCCCGGCGCCGCGGGGTAAGCTCCCCGTGATCCTGCGACTGATGTTACTAGCGAAATTGCTAGCGCCGCTTCGGGAGAAACTCGGGATTGAGGCAGTTGGCGTGGAAGCGCTGAGTTGATTTTCGTCCTCTGAATTCTCGTCTTGAGGTTGAGTCTCCGCGATGTTCGCGGCGCTTGCGACGCTCGCGGAGTTTGTGGGGGAGCGCGGCTGCGGCGATGGCAGGTTCACGCGGCTCGGGCGTCGCACCATCGTGGCGGTGCGGTCGAGATTGGCGGGGCGACGGAGCGTGGAGTATAGAAGCTTCCACGCAACGTGCGCGTGCAGGATCACCGCCTGCGCCTCTCGCTGCGAAAACGGGGAGAATCGGACGGCCGAGATGGACTGTGACGCGCCGCGGAAGAGGCCTGGTGTACGGTGAGGGTGGGAGCCAGGAAATAAAAACGATAGGATTAGGATTATACACCAGATGGCCAGCATCATGCGTCGAATTAGTGACGCTTAACGAGATGGCACATATCGGACCGAATGATGAGCGATAAACAAATTGGCCCGAGCAGACCAATGGCTGCACGCGTTGCTGCAAGCGCGGGGAGACATCGCCGACGCACCACTGACTCCAATCGCCAGTAGCGAGACACTACAAAGGGGTATACGGACGGACCACCGCATACGGAGAAAGGTAGTAAAGTAAGAAAGAACCGACCACATACCGTTCTCGTATCGGCCGGGCACGGTCGTAAATCCGGACTGCTGAACCCATTGAATGACCTCCGCAATGCGCCTCGCCAACCCGCCGCCTCCCGCGGTGACTGAACCGCAGGCGGGAACCGTTCCGGGCCTGCTGACGTAGGATCCATTGCGGAAAGTGTTTCTAGCCGACGCGCCGTTGCATCTCGTGCCAACGATCAGCGGATCGTCCGCGGCGATCACTAGAAGCTTGTGCGACACATCTGCGTCGCCGAAAGGAGCCTCGTCGTCGCCGTCACGGCCCCCGGCGCTGGACCTCCCCGCCGCGTTCGTCGCCGATCGGTAGGGTCGCACGGGGAAGGCGAGGAGAGGGAATACCGCGTACGCGTCGCCCGGCTCGCGCACCTGCGACCCGATTTCGATCGCGTCGGCGGGAGCGTAGTCGAAGAACGGCGTGCTCGCGTTGTCGTCATCGCCGGAAGGCGCGGTCGCAACTACACGTGGCGCCGAGGTAGTACTTTCCGCGCTAGCGGCTGTAGCATTGATAAGGCGGTCTGCGCCGGCGGCAGCGGAAGCCGTGCCATCGGACGCGGCTCGGCTGTTCGCGGCGGTACAAGGAGCGAGAAGACACGTTTGCGGCAAAACCCCGGAATTCCAGGAAACTAACGGCGCGTATTGCGTGGGTGTCAGGGGACACGACGCGCCTCCGCAGCCTGAGGCGCTGATGCTGTTCGAGATTGGAAACGCGGCGCTCCGTGCCCTGGGAGTTGTCGGCGATTTCGGGGTTCGAGGGGAAGCCTTCGAGTTAGTCAGGGCCGCAGCCGGGAACCCAGAAATGGTTTTCGCCGACGGCGATGAGGTCGCCGAATCTGACGGAGGGATTTCAAGCGGCACGACGCGGCCGTCGAGGAGAAGCTTTCGGCGGCGCGTGACGAGGGAGAAGAGGGACTGCTGACTGGCGTTGCCGTTGGCGTCGCGATTGGCGTCGCTGCCGGCGGTGCATACGAACGTGCAGGTGCCGCTACCGGTGGCACCGCAGGTAGTACCGCCGACACCGCCGCCGTCGTCGCCGCCGCTTTGGGCGCCAGCGATTTCCGGAAAGAGGAGCACGTCGTGCCAGATGGAGGTAATCGCGCGGGAGGTGAAGAGCGGTACGATGTTTCCGCTCACGTGGCCCTCCATAGCGCTAATATTGCTCGCAGTAGAAGCAGTGGTAGCGATGGTTACCACAGCAACGAACAATCACATGTAGGACTGTCGAACTACTGTCGCAGTACTGCTCTTACTTATAGTAGTAGTTGTCCCAAAACTGGGAATGAAGGGGCATGACAGGTGGGACAGAGCGTGCGCCTATCGAAGAAATGCGCAAGGAGAGATGGCACTGCGGAAGCCAGTTGGAGCGGAAGAAATTGTAGGAGATGGTGTGGGATGAAGAATTGCTTGTTGAAATAATTGGGCTGGGTTTGGGGGCAACGGATGAGAGGAATGACTGGATTCACGTGGGAACAGAAGCAGCACCCAGTGACAGCATTGTGCACACGTAAGTGTGCCTTGATACAGTAGCGTAACATTGGACGCGAAGTTATTCTCTCTCACGCGTACAACTTCCGATCTGCTCGTGTTTTGTATCTACATGTCCATGTAAATCTGTATTGATTGCGTACAGTACTACAGAGGAGGAAAACTCGAGGCAAGTCTGCTGTTGGGCTGGGCTTCGCATTCGCTGACATGATGCTTCTGTACGGTTGGATCCAGGGACTGCGCAAAGCAACGCACAAAGAGACGCGCATGCCCACGGGGGGGACTGACAGTCCGTCAAGGACGAAATACTATTTAGGAGGAACGAAATATGTTCTTATTGTATGGGCGGCTCGATACGTCTTTCTCTGATTATGGTCCTAAATTCGACTGTCTCCTTTTGCGACCAAGCAGGGAAAGCGCGATGTGTGGACTGATAGAGGGGGCGGCCCAAAAGGAGGAAGGGATTGGTGGAAGGGAGAAGAGGAGAGTACAGTACAGAGACGCTGGGAAGGGACGGGGGAAACCTCCCGAACATCTTCATCACCCCCCTGAATGCCGACGTAGTCCCAGAAATGGGCCCGAGTAGAAAGTATGAACGATTTGTAGCACCATTTCTGCCTCTAGATCCTACCCCCACAAACTCAACGATCACACCTTCCTATCCCCAGCAACATTTACAAATAGATAATCTGCAACGGAGAGTTTCACGAAACAGGAAGAGTGTACCGCAACCAGGGCTGTCGATTGCTCTGGGGCGAGAACTTGGAAGGCTGAGCTGCCCCGAAATGTGCCCTTAACTTTACGTTTTGGGGCCAAACTCAACACTTGAAATCAGGGCTACAAAGTGTTATGCACTTTTGCTAAGACAAGAGATCACCCTGGATTTGCACTGCCACCCGAATTGATTCGTCACGCACCTGCTAGTCACTGAATGAAACCTCTTAGCGGAAATAATCGGCAACAACGCCGAACCTACTCAAATCTGTAAGGGTGAAGTGAAGTACTGGGACCTCTCTAGTACTTCATGTGTAGCCCCTAACCAGATCTACCACTCAGTTTGTACTTCGATAATACTTTAGGTTCTTTCTGACTTGCAGCTCGGGTTCTGACTTCGAAAAATAACGGTTCAGGCCCCGACCTTGAGAGTGTCAGAGTACATCGAAACTGGCTCTTGGGAAAGTTCTACTGCACCTGGGCCTGGGTTGACGGGAAATGGGGCGGGTCAGGGAGGAATCAGTTCGAAGGGGAAAGGGCTAGCCTCAAGACTGATACTTGAAATCCGGGTTAGTCTCGAACACAACACTTTAGGCGGACGGGCTGACCTGAAACCCAACCCTTAAATTCGGGGACCTAGGCCGAACTCAACCCTTAATGTTCAGGGCATTAAGGGCATTTGCCCTTGTAGCGAAGCCCTGCCGCAACCACTACTTTCTAGAATTGCCATTCTGCAAACCTAGAGTCGCTTTGGTCATGAGTGATTTCTCAGCGCTTATCTTGTGTTGAGGCTTCTGCTTTCCTTCTTGACCGAGTTGGCAAGAAAGAAAACCTTGAGCTCTGAACAAGCTCAGTTGAAGTTGTGGCACCTCTTATTCCGCACGAGCATGATGTAACGTCTGATTGCTGCAACCCGTTCTGTACGACATCATCTAGTCGTGAAAAAGGGGCACTGTCCTTGCAAGGGAACATTTCTGGGAAAGGATATATCCTTAGACACATTAGACACCCTAAACCCGAAACCATCATCGCTGAAGGTTAAATTGCTGAATATTCATAGCAAGTGATACTGAAAGTGTTGTTTTTGCCAAATTGCTTGTGATGCTGCATTCACAAGGTCTACACGTACAAAAACAAAACATTTCAGCCACTCATGTGTTGGATTGGGTTGTGACGTGTACAGTGGATTTCTGCTTACGTGGAAAAGGAACCAAACCACAAGTTGTAGACAACTGAGAGAAAACCATCTCTAGAAGTTGCAGCTAAGATCGCGACAAAAGCGTTCTGGTCTGGCCGGGGGGCAGCCATTGTCCTTCATCAAGAACAGAGTCTGGCTGGGTGACACGGAATGATGGACTTAAAGCCGCGGTGCAGATATCTTAGGAACAGTGACAAACAGTTTTTTGTCTTGTTCCTTCCTGGTCGCCAATTGGCTAGCGAGAGAATAGATTGTGTTGCGATGAAGAGAAAAAGGAAACAACTGATGCGAATGTCGCCAACCTCGAAAGTGAGGGGGAAGGGGAAGGGGTGGGGGGAGGGAAGGGGGGAACACACACGACAACGCGAAATTCGAAACCCATGAGTATGCCGTCATCTCTACATTGCATAACGAAAGAGTTTGTATTTAAAATAAGCTGAGTACCACACAAATATCATATTCTGCGACTCAAAGGCACATTTGAGGATTTCAGAACGATCAAAGTTTGGGGTGGTTGTTTCCCTTTTCTTTTTGGGTGCAACGAATGTACACATGGCAGGCAAACATGAGTGTCTTTAAATCCTACATGGCATCTCCAAGATGAGCCAGACTTCACACCCCTCTGATCCATTATTGATGCAGCTGTCCACCGATAGCAGGGCGGGAGGGGGGTAGGGAAGGACACCAGCCGAAGAAGTGAAAAATGTTTGATGGGGAAATTGAATGGAGGGTTGGCAGAAACAGTGGGGTGCGCGACGACACAAAGTGATGGGGTGGGTGAAGGGAAGTAGTTGGGTGGGTGAAGGGAAGCAGCGGGGTGGGTGAAGGGAAGCAGTGGAGTTGGGAGCGGTGGAGCAGAGGGTTGGATGTCGTCACGCCTGCCACCGTGGGGTCATAGTGGGAAGGGAAGGGTCGGATGAGGGGAATGGGGAGGGACAGGAGAGGGGGGAAAGGGATGGCCGGGAGAGGGGTGAATGGTGGGACTGAACAGGGGGAAAGGGAAGGGATGGGAGAAAGGGAAAGGAAGGGTTTAGGAATCGGGGGATGCCTTGAAAGGACAAGGGTAGGGTAAAGGGTGGATGGTGGGGGAAGGAGGGACGGACACCGATGGAAGGAGGGACGGGGACGGGGGGAAGGTTTGAATGGTAACGGGGGAAAGGAGGGATGGCGGGAGTGGGGGAGAGGAGGATTGGTGGTGGAGAGACAATGAGAGCGAGCCGCTTGCTACCGTCGCGCCTTTGCTGCCTGCAGGGAAGGGCAAGACGCCAAGGGACCGACGGACAAGGGGAGTTCGGGAATGGGGAGGCGTGAAACTGAAGGTGTGGCATAGGAGGATGTGCCATGGGGGATGGTGGCAGGGGGGAATGCCCTGGAACAAACAAGGGGGAAAACGACGGATGGGAGTGCGAAAAAGCGAGGGTTGGGTGAGGGGACAAGGGGACGAATGGGTGCAGGGGGGAGCAGCGGGGGGGGGGGGGGGGGCTGAATAGTGAATAGTGCTTTGGGTCAATCTCTCACGCTTGAACTAGGACAGGAATGGGATAGGACAGGGGAAGGAGAAAGCGACAGGGGGAATGGGATAGGACAGGGGAGGGACAGGAGAGGAGGGAAAGGGATGGCCATCACAAGAGTGAATGGTGGGATGGGATTGTGGGAACGGGAAGGGATGTGAGAGAGGAAAAGGAAGGGTTCAGGAAAGGGGGAAATGAGCAGGAAAAGCAGCGACGGTAGTGGGGGAAAAGGGACGAATGGGGGCAAGGGGACGGATGAGAGCAGGGCGAAGCAGTGGGTTGGGAGAGGGGAAAGGAGGGAGGGAGAAGAAGGGGAGGGAAGGATAGGGGGACAGGGAAGAAAGAACAGGGGGGAGAATTAAGCATCAGGAGGAACGAAAACGATGAAAGGGAGGGAAGGACTAAGGGGAAAGGGAGAGAATGACAGGGGGAAAGGGTGGGAAGGACATGGAGGAAAGGAGGAAGGACAGGGGGGAAGGGATAGAAGGAGTGGGGGAAAGGGAAAGAAGGACAGGGGCCTATAGCATGTCGCTGCACGCTCCCGCCTCGCCCGCCACTCGCTAACGCTCGCCACCGCTCGCCACTGTCGCGCCGCTGCTCGCTGTCACGTGCGCAACTAGCCGGACCATGTCGTCTCGTGACCGAGCTGTGCATCGACCTCAGGCGATGCTCGCCACAGTAGCACCTATTCCGACCATCGATCGCTGTTCTTCCCACCCTTTCCCCCTGTCCTTCTCACCCATTCCGGCCCTGTCGCCATCGTGCTTGCAGTTTCTTGCCGCCATTGCGTTTGCCACACACATCCCCTTGCCTTCGCCGCATCGCTACCAATCTCGCTCGCTAAAGCCGCTTGCGAGGTTTGGACGCGTGATGCTTAGGGACCGTCGGAACAGATCCTTTGCCCCGCTGCTCACTAACGACATCCCGCTGCTCGCTAACGTCGCCCTGCTGCACGCAGACGTCGCCCCGCTGCTCGCTACTGTCGCCATCGCAGCTCACTATCGTCATTGCGCTGTTGTCGCCATGCTGCTCGCTACCGTCGCCGCTATGCTCAGTATCGTCGCCCCGCTGGCTGCTGTCGCACCCAATCCTGCCTGCCACCACGTCGCTCCCAACTACTTCCCTTCACCACGTCGCTGCTTGCCACCGCCGATTCGTGAGAAATAGAGGGACGGGAGAGGGACTACAGAACGAATACCGCGGAGGAAATCGCGCGCAATGCGCTACGGGTACAGCCGCGGTGGTGTTTTTTGGGATACTAAATAGTGCAGATATTCGAGCGCACACTAAGAGGCGAAGAAGAGCGATAGATCTGGGGCAAATGGCTCTCAAGAAGCCCTACGGGAAGGCACTTCAAGTTAGTAGTAACATAGCCTAGTGCGAGAGATTGCTGAGTTTGAGTAGTTTTGAGTTCAAGTTTCAAGTTTCAAGTTTGATGCCTGGCCACCCCTTCACGCTGTGGTGCGGTGCTTTTCCGCAAGCCCTCCCCAGCTTCCCCCCCACTCATCATGCTGCGAGGCACTTTTCCGCACGACCTTCCCCCGCTCTCAGAAAGCTCTGCCAACCCGAGACTTCCAGTGTATACTGGGTAACGCGCCTTTCAAGCTATAATACTTTGAACTGGCGCAGCGATATCTGCACCGCGGCTTTAACGTTCACTTTCCACCCCCGACCAGGAAGGAAAGCCAACTCGCCCCCAACTTTTACGCTTCATGTCGGGACTTGCAGAAACCCGTTCGAATGTTAAAATCCGGGCTGTGACAGTAGGTTGTGGGTACACCCTGTTTCTCAACGTTCGGACAATCGGGAGCCCCAGCTACAGTGCGAACGTGTGCTTGGATTTTGCGGGCTGGTGCTTGCAACCGAACCCCAGGTAGGTGGCGGGCAAATGCAGTCCAGGAGAACGATACACAACGGTTTTTTTTTTTTTTTTTTTTTTTTTTACGCGTTGATGTCAGAATAAGCGGCATGTCAATACAACAAATGTCAGTGTGGCGCGAAACAGGGTGTACACCAAAAGGGGCTCTCCCAATACTATGTACCGATTTGTTGTGGAAGGACCCAGGCGTGAAAATTTGCAGAATGATTCCCGCAACCCTCCTCTCCCCACCATTGTGAGGCTACTACTACAGACGTCCCTGTCACAAGTGCCGACAGAAAAGGTGGGGTCAGTTTTCGGAAGGCAGGGCCATTTGGAGAAGTACCCAGATTGTCTGAGTGTCCATGGTTTGGGTCTCTGTTTCCCCTTCCTCTCCCTGAATTTGCTTGTCGGACGCGAACCGACCTGAACCAAAACTTTTACAATCTCGTGATGGCTGGGAATACATACATCACTTATATAGGCTCGTGACCACTTCAAACCCTCCGAAAAACACTTCGTTACACACACCGACTTGAAGCATACAATTTCCCGCTCCCCCACCCACTTCGACCCTGTCAGACGGTTTCTCCGTTCAACTAGACGGTCACCGTCAAGGGAGCCTACCGCGAAGTCAAGGAAACGACGAACTACACCACATTTTGCGCTAGAATAGCTTCCGCATGTGAGAGTGCGCGCGGTTAGCAGAACCTCAACGCACAGGCTAACAGAAAAGTATAGTCACATTCATATGAACACGGTTAGTTCTGAAACGGTCTGTTGGTGTGTACGATTAGTTAGGAATCGTATTCAGTGTTAAAAACATTCTGACGCACGAGTGTTAGTTTGAGATCGCAATGCGTCTTTGCCCGCAACTTTCAACGTTTGGAGTATGTAATCAGCGCGCTAAATCCGATCATTGTAGCCACTGTTCTGCGCCAGTGGGAACGTCAAGAAATTCGACCGCATTGCATCTTCTCTGGCTGCTACCAGTTGAGTCGGTCATAACTCTCAGAGTTGTGTCTTTTCCTTAACCCAAGGATTCCAAAGTAACACGCCAAGACATCTTTCATTCCTCTTTTTATGTGCTAATGCTTGTCAATGAAGCACAGTGTTTTCATAGGTAGAAAGGGCTTGTCCATCTCACTGGGTTCACCACCTCTATCAAATGTCCTATATCCGTCTATATGGAAGCATTCTATACTAGAGAAAACAGTGTTGTAGTGTGTGAGCTGTAACTTTCTCAACCTTCTTTCGGCAAATTTGAAAATCTCCGGTCCCTCCCTCCCCCCCCTCTCCCCCCCCCTCCAACACCCCCCCCCCCCCCCCCCCCCCCCCCAACCTCCCCCCCCACTTCCCCTCGCCCCCACTGCAATGACGTGTATAATGACCTGAACACGAAAGCCGAACATTGACTCGGCACATCTATGCGACTTTTTCGCAATGCGATGCGATGCGATCCGGTGTTATAATTGGATCCAGTAATCCGACACACGCGGCAGTCCCTCATAGCTGCGTCCAAGGAAAGTCTGACTCAGCACGGCTGCAAGTAGACCAAATGTGTTGGCTGATGTCAGCCAGTTTCTATCGCAAACGCCGCGTTCATATCAAATCGGCCACTCAGCGTGGCAACGGCCTACGCTACAGTATCTGACGGAAAATGCGAGGTCCAATCCTAACAGAATTTGTGGTAAATATCTTCTCTAGCTCCTATTGTATCACTGTAAGGTCTTACTGAAAGGCATGAGTTAGGGGGGGCATCAATTATCAACTACAGTGCTTACACTCCTCCTTCACTTCCTAACAAATATAAGCATTAAGTGTATTGTGTCCCAAATGCGCGTCACCTTACAGCGACCATTACTGACATTTTCGTATTTTTTTGTCAGAATGTGTAGTTTGTCTAGCCTGCAGTGGGGTACTCTATAGTGAGTACGACCCCTTAGGGTTTCCTATGTGTATCCACCTGCTTGCTAGTGAATCTTCTCCTTTGCCTATTTTCTCTTGCCTAGCTAGCTAAACCCTAGCTATGGCTCCTCGTTCTGCCTACTATTCTGACATGGAATCAGAGCTGTTACGCTCTTGGCCTGTGGGCCCGACGTGCTTCCGCTGCTTTCCTGTCTGTCGCGCGCCCCGTGGCACACGACGCTTTTTTCTTCCCGCCACGCGCTCGGGGCGCATGGCGGTTTTCTGCCCGCCGTGCGCCCCGAGGCGCGTGGCGGCTTCCTGCTTCACGCGTCACCCCGGGGACCCGCGCGTCCCCCCCGTCGACGATCGCGTCGCCCCACGGGAGCTCGTCGCGTCGCCCCGCAACCCGCGCGCGGCCCTCGCTGCCCCGTCGCGACGCCCTGGGGAGCCGCTCGCGCCCCCCCGCTGCCCCGTCGCGGTGCCCTGGGGAGCCGCGCGCGGCCCCCGCTATCCCGTCCCGACGCCCTGGGGAGCCGCGCGCGACCCCCCGCTGAACCGTCGAGGCGCCCTAGGGTGCCGCGCGCGGCCCCCGTTGCCCCGTCGCGGCGCCCTGGGGGCCGCGCGCCGTCCCCCGCGCTGCTGCCCGCGCTTTTGCCCCGTGTTGCCCGTGTTAGGGTTTGGGGGTGGCGGGTGTGGGGGTGGCAAGCATGGGGGTGACGGGTGTGTTACACAGTCCCCTGCTCCTCCTCCTCCGTCTCCCACTGCTGCAGCTGCCGCTGAGGGGGGTGGGTGTGTGGGAGCCGAGGGAGTGGTGCTAGGGGAGTGACGTGGGAGTGGAGCTAGGGGTGCAGCAAGGGGTGTGTGAAAGGGGGGTGGGACAGTTGGGGGAGGTTGAGCGGAGGCTGCCGTCTTGTCGTCCGCAGCACCTGTAGTCCGGGGCTCTGCTGCTGGTAGCTCAGAGAGCCTGCTGCGCCTGTCGCCCGTGGGTCCGTTGCTCCTGCCGCTCAGAGTTACCGCAGAGCCAGTTACTCCTGTAGTCCGGGGCCCTTGCTCCGGTAGCCACCGTGCGCGCCGCTCCTGTTGCCCGTGTGTCTGCAGCTTCAGCCGTCGCCTCCTATCTCCTCTCCTCTCACAGTCCAGCCTCCTCCTCCTCACTTGCCCTTTGTGTATGCCTCTAGCTTTGCTTGTACTGGTGAACCTGCTCTATGACTGCTTGCTCTGCTGATTATACCCCACTTTGACTATGGGGGTGTGTCAGAATGTGTAGTTTGTCTAGCCTGCAGTGGGGTACTCTATAGTGAGTACGACCCCTTAGGGTTTCCTATATGTATCCACCTGCTTGCTAGTGAATCTTCTCCTTTGCCTATTTTCTCTTGCCTAGCTAGCTAAACCCTAGCTATGGCTCCTCGTTCTGCCTACTATTCTGACATTTTTTTTTTTATGGTTATATGTACAGCACATACAGCATGGAAACATAGACCATAACTACCCCCTAAACCACCCGGATTGACAACGACGATCGACAACAACCCAGCGTGGAACTCGCTGACGTCGCGGACGCGTTGCAAATTGACCCGTCACTTTCAAAAATTCGCCTGGTCGCACAGTGTCGCGATACATTCACGCTTTGAGACGCGAAGTTGACTAAATGTGTAAACGCGATTCGGGAAAAACGCCATTGAGACACTTGTGTCGATATGAGAATGTTAACTGAGAAACAATGTGCACTCCTATCAGTAGCAAGCGGGGATTGCAAAGACGAGTACGAATGCGAAGGGTCGGGATGACGCGAAGAGTCGCGTACCGTTAGCTGCTTCTGGACCGTCGGAACAGATACATCGGGCAGCTGCAGCAGCAAGGATTGTGGCGGGAACAGGTTTGTAATCGT